TTTCTAAAAACAGCTTATTTTTTCTCATAGAGGGTGACGAAAATCTTGGAAATTTCTCGGAAAAACTGAAGTACTGAAGAAAATTTTTTTCGTTCCTGAAAGAGCAGATCAAGGTCTATCTCCCTATGTATTTATCTCAGTTTCAATACTTCTGATCAAAAGTGAATTTTTTTGAAGGGGGGGGGGGCTTAAATAATATTCTACGACGAACTCTCAAAATATACATGCTGTTTATTCATCCTAGAATATATATTTAGATAATTCAACTTTTCAAAAAAAGTAATTTCAACGGACAACAATATCTAGGCAATGTATTGATTCAAATTAACCAAAACAAATTTTATTCTTATTTATCGCTTATCTTTTGAATTTATCCACATACGAATAGAATAAAGAGCAAAAAAATAATTGAATTTCAAAAAAAAAAAAAAGAATTATAGATTTACATAAAATACACAAAAAGAACGAATTTAATATCTCATTTTTTAATCTCATATTAAGTGATTTGTTTTTCTAACACATACATAAATAATATTTCTCATATTTATAGAACAAGTCAGATCTAAAAAAAAAAAACTTCTGTTATGATCAGACAGAAAATAAAACGAACATCAACAAAAAAAAGTAGGTGACGAAAATGTAGAATAGTCATAAAAAAGAAAAATAGCAAATATATAAATTTTTGAAATTTTATAACAGTATACAGCAACCTTGATTATCTGCAACAGTTGTTTGATTTTGTGAATTATCAACACCATTTGTTCCATTTGATGAAGCTGATAGATTTGAATTACGAATTTGACCAGAATTTTTGTTTTTTATTTTTTTATCTTTGTTTACTGCTGTTCGTTTATTTATTTGACGAACAAGATCAAAAAATATCTAAATAATATTAAAACTAATTGTTTTTATTTTTATAAAATATATAAAAAAAAAAAAAAAAAAAAATTGAACCTCATTAACATTAATTTTTTGTTTAGCAGATGTTTCAAGAAATGTTGAATTCCAATGATTTGCTAATGATTGACCAACTTCTTTTCCAACTACACGTTCATCTTCAAGATCACATTTATTTCCTACTAATACCGTTGGTACCTATATTAAATTGTATATACCAATAATACAAATGAGAAATAATTTTTTTTTCTTACATCAGTTGTATCTTTTACTTTAAGAATCGTATCACGTAAATCAATAAGATCACTATATGTCGATTGAGCAGTTATTGAATATACAAGTACAAATCCTTGACCATTTTTCATATATAAATCTCGCATAGCAGTGAATTGTTCCTAAAAAAAAATGTTTAAGAATCTTTAGACTTAACTAACTAATTGGATAAAATCATTGTTAATAATGATATTTACTTAGGAAGTATTTCATTTTCTAATATTATAATGTATGAATACCAAAAATTCATCCTTATGGCAATCTTCGATTGTGAAAGGAGAAAAAAGATCTGTTATTCACTATCTTTTCATGTACTATGAGTTATTGTAAATAAGACCTTTATTTCAAACTAAACCAAAGAACAACATAGAATGTCAAAATATTGTTTTTTTAGATGATGTAGTCATAGACTGTGCCGTTACTCTCGGCTATATGCATGTGTGATTTATTACATTCTATTGATCAAGTTTTTTTTTTTTTTTTATCTAGGAGTCACAAGAGTTTATCATTATCGACATTTTACCTTTTGACATTTAACAATTTTACCTTTCGTGATTAGATTAGATTTTTTATTAATCAATAAGCGTAATATCTCTAGTTTATTCTAAAAAAAAGTCATAGAAAAATCTCAAATAACTTACTGTTCCAGCAGTATCCAAAATTTCACTAAAAGAGAAAACAAAAAATAAAAATAAAAATATGTCTTTTTTTTTTGTATAATTCAAACTTACAGCATACATTGTTGTCCATCGACTTCCACTTGTTTTCTATAACTATCTTCAATCTATTGAGAATAACAGTTATACAGTTAAAAAATTTTCTTATTAAAACAACTAACCGTTGGATCATATTTTTCAACAAATAATCCTTGAACAAATTGTACAGTCAATGCTGACTTACCAACACCACCACTCCCAAGTACGACTATTTTGTATTCACGCATTCTCTTAATTATTTCATTAAATTTCAAAAAAAAAAAAAATATCTGAAAAATATTAATTATGATTAAATAATCAACACTAGGAATTTAACAATCATTAGAAGATAAATAAATTATATGACTTGTTTAATTTGACAAAACACTATTTTCAATGGTCGATATATAAAATTAAAAACAAGTATAATTCTTCGTAATTATGATCAATCTTCTTTTCCGCTGAACAGATTATTATCAATTTTTAAGTTAAGTACTCACAAGAAATCATGATCGGTCTTTCTTTTTTTACCATATGGCATTAAAGTGTCTAATATCACGATAATATATATATAAGTTCTTCATATTTTAGTAGAAAAAAAAGAGAACAATCAACGAACGGAAAGAGAACTATGCTGTAGATGTCTCAACTGTTTTATTTCATTATCATGAGTGATTGCCACTAGTGACATGCACATGCTCTTTTTTTTACTATTGATGCATATTTCTTTCGTACCTACTCAAAACTTAAAATTGTTTTTTTTTTCTATAACTCAATAGTCACTTAAGCGTAGGCATTTTCCCTGTCTATGTCAGGCACATACTATTTAGATTGAATGTTATAAATATTTGCGCTTGTTATTTTGAGATACATATGTCAAGAAAATAAAAACACTCATGTAGGCTTTACATATATTATCATATGGCGACGTTATTTTCCTTGTAAAATAAGAACCTTACAATTAACAGGTTGATCTATGCTAAAAATAATTATTTCTGCAATGAAATAAAATATATTTATAGTAAGTATGCATCCACATATGGTTATTTTAAAATATTCTCATTAAATCTTTATATATAAAAAATGAAAATGTAATCATTTAACATTTGACAATTCTTTTTGTTTTCAAGCATATCTTACTTTGAATATTTAAATATTAGATACAATTAAATATTGATTGCATAATACAATCGAATTTGTTTCTATCCGAATTTTAAGTACAATTGATTTAGCAACTTACTCTTAACCGTTTAATAAATCATTTTAGAAAATTTTTTTCTCTGAAGGATTCTTCGAGTGAAAATAAATATTAAAAAAACAAGAGACTATTCTAGGTTAAAATTATATTATGGATGCTATTTAACACTATAAATACCAATGACATTTGTTTTTAAAAGTTCAAATCGTAATAAATATTTCACATCACTTTTTTCTTTCAAAGATTTACAATATGTATTAAGAGAAGTCGAATAGTTTTGAAATAACTATTTCAAGTTATAAGTCATCTTATGAAAAGTTAATTTTATTTTTATGAATTAAAGTATGTTGAATTGTTCTAAATTGCATAACTATTGTACGGTTGATGGTTGGAGAGTGTTTTGTTTATAAAAGTTATTTTGCTCGACAATTTTTAAACTTCTTTTTTGTTTTTCTGTATTTATTTGATTTAGAAATAACGATTCTCTTATGAGAAGAAAAAAAAAAGAACTTTTCATCTCAAATGAATGCTAAGATATCTGTCAAACAAAACCAAAAACCAGCTGTTTTTTGATTTGAAGAAAGAATTCTTTCTTTTTCCCTCATTT